GGTTGTTGCTGAGTGTGTGTCTGAGTGTGTGTGTGTGAGTGTCTGAGTGTGTGTGTGTCTGTGTGTGAGTGTGTGTGTCTGTGTGTGTCTGTCTGAGTGTGTGAGTGTCTGAGTGTGTGTGTGAGTGTGTGTGTGTCTGAGTGTGTGTGTCTGTGTGTGTCTGAGTGTGTGTGAGTGTGTATCTATGTGTGTGTGTGAGTGTGTGTGTCTGAGTGTGTGTGTGTCTGTGTGTGAGTGTGTGTGTCTGTGTGTGTCTGTCTGAGTGTGTGAGTGTCTGAGTGTGTGTGTGAGTGTGTGTGTGTCTGAGTGTGTGTGTCTGTGTGTGTCTGAGTGTGTGTGAGTGTGTATCTATGTGTGTGTGTGAGTGTGTGTGTCTGAGTGTGTGTGTGTCTGTGTGAGTGTGAGTGTGTGAGTGTCTGTGTGTCTGTGTGTGTGTGCATGTGCCCCTTCCATAGCATTCATGTCCAGGTCTGAGGACAATTTAAGAGAGTCAGTTCTCTGCCGTGGGTCTCAGATATGGGACTTGGCTCATTAGGTTTGGTGGCAGGTGCTTTCACCCTTGCTGGTGTTTAGCTATTTCCTGAGTAGCTCCTTTCTGTTTCTTGCTGGGCTAGGAGTTGAGGGTGGCCCTGAGCAGGCCGCAGCCTTGGGTGGTTGAGGAGTGTCAGAGAACACTCTCCTGCCCTCTAGGCAGGCGAGGAGTACAGGACTCACTGTCAGTAAGCAGGTGAAGTTCCTGGAAGTTCCGGGAGGGCCACGTTCAGCAAAGGTCTTATCTTGTTCATCGGACCATCCAGTGTGTTTCAGAAAAGAATCAGTGTGTCATGCAGTGCCATTCCCCTCTGTAGAGTGGGAGTCCAGGCGGCCTCACACACTTGTCAGGAACACGTAGGTAATTCAAACTGAAATCAGCTAAAACAGATTCTTACAGCGCATCCCTCCTGAACTAGCTCAGTCTCCATTGCTCAGAGGTCACGTGGATGAACTATGCTGGTTCCTCAAAAATAAAAATAGAACAGCTCACATCCGAGTGTGTGTCCAGAACCGTTGAAAGCAAAGTCTGGCTGGGCATGATAATTTATGCCGGTAATCACAGTATTCAGGAGGCTGAAGCAGGGGCGTCAGTGGATTTGAAGCCAGACCAGACAGCATATAAGATAGGGTCTGAGGGGAAGAGGGAAGGGAGAAAGGAAGAGAGAGCTAGCCTAAGCTCCAAAGAGCGCCTGTGTACCCATGTTCACACCATAGCGTTCACACCAGCCAACCAGAAGCAATCCCTCACATGCCTATGGATAAAAGACTCACTGCTGAGCCTGGGGAGCACAGACTGCTCTTCCAGAGGACTGAGCTCAGCACCCCCATCTGGCATCTCACAGCTGGCTTCCTGTAATTCCAGCTCCAGAGGGGATCTGATGCCCTCCTTTGGCCTCTGTGGGCCACTGAACGAAGGCACACATACCCATACACAGACATACTTGTATGCGTATGATTAAAAATAAAAAAAAAACTTTAAAAATAAAATCATATGAATTGAGGTTTTTAAATGTGTTCATTAAAGGAATATTGTTGGCCTTTAAAAGGCACATTCTATAGCATGGATGAATCTTAAGGACATTATTCTGTATGAAATAGGCCAAAAGTCAGAGATCACCTACCCCTGCTTACCCAAGCATCTTAGAATGAAGGTTTCCAGAGGCCGGTCGGAGGCCGGTCAGGGCCTCCGGGAGTGGCCTTACCTGTGCCTCAGAAATGGCTAAGATGGTAAATTAAGTTTTACCACACATTGTTTTCAAGGCGGAAGTGGCCGTAACGCATTGTTGACATAGGTGATGATAGGGTGAGGTCAGCGAAGGCCTCTGGTCGCTCACATTCTTGGCGCGAAGGCGACCCTGGGTGGAGGGTCTACCTCCCAACCAGCCGGGCAGGTGGATGGGGAGTGTCCCAGTGGAAAGGGTCACAGGGGTGAGCAGAAGAGCTTCCAGCCCCCCAGGGAAGGCTGGGGCTTTTCTGTGTTCTTATTATTTCTCAAGCAGGGCCCCTGGAAGGCTGAATGTTTAGTTTGGTTTGAGTTTCTGCTGTGAGCCTTGATGTTTGTAGAAGGGCCACCTGGGGCTGAGGCAAACCTTCCTTGACTGGGGGTGATTAGAAAGTTGGGGGACAGCTCTTCCTCCTCTCGATGCTCAGCGGAGAGGTGGGGGGGGAGCAAAGTGGGTCTCAGACTCTCAGGCAGATGGAAGCAATTTTTAGTCACGTGGACGAGGCCTGAACCGCACGGCAAGGCTGGGCCCCTTGTCATTCTCCAGGAAGCGGCCCCAGGAGCCACAGGTTCTAGGGCCAGATGTTGCAGTTGCACTGTCTTTGTTTCCTGAAAGTTGCTGGAGACCCCGGGAAGTGTTTCTGAGTGAGGAGCTGACACTCCCGAAGCCTGGTGGAGAGGAATGTTGCCCTGACTCGGGCTGCGGATGCTTCTGATGGCACCCTGCCCTAGGACCTGCCTTTGTCATTGTTTGGGGACACACACGTGTGGAGCCTCTGGCAGCTCCTGGTGTGTTTACAAGTATTCTCTTGTTTGGTTGCTCCCCAGTGCCAGGAAGTAGAGGTGACTGTACCCCCATGGAGGCAGAGAAACAGGAAGGGACTGATCCAGCCAGCCCCTGGCAGTGGGGGTGGTCCGCATGCCTCCTTCCTGAAGCTGGCTTTGCAAACCTCTTCTTCCTTCTGTTCTACCACTCGATCCTAGGGGGGTGGGGCAGCGGGCCCGCAGAGAGGAAGTGCAGGTCCGGCTGGCCATGCCAGTAAAATGGAGAGAAATGCCTGCCGTAGCTCCAGAGTTGGTTGTGGATGTGGGGGAAAGAGTCAGCTTGAGTTTACCGTTTTTTCCCCAGAAGGGAAAGGACTGTTAAACCGAAGCCTACTGAAGGAAGCTGAGGTTTTCAAGTTTAACCCTTGGCTTATGTACAGACCTACTAAACAAACTGGCCTTTGCCTGAGGGTGAGGGGCACCTGGTGTCTGCCAGTCTGGGAAGACTGTTTTGCCTCAGGACTGCATGGGTCAAGTGCCTGGGAGTAGAGGCATTCCCAGTGAGGGTGTCTCAGATCTGGAAGAGGCAAATAGGGGTCCTATCACCCCTCCCCTGTGAACCTGTTGCACTGTGAAGGGCCCCGGGTCCCACAGCTACCTCAGGCTGTCTGAGCAGAGATGAAGGGCATGCATGAGGGGGAGCCCTGTGTGGCAAAGCGGCAGAGACAGCCCTGAGAGGCACGTGGCTGAGGGGTGTGGGCTTGTCGGATGGCACAATGCAGGGAACTTCAGTTCTGAGGTATTCCACAGAGTTCCTCCGGCAAGTTACTGAACTCTGCATGCTGTTCTAAAGCCTCTCTCCGTTTTTCCCTCCACAGGCTCCGAAGTGGCTCCCAGCTGTGTTGGCGACATGGCTGACAGCCCTAGAGATGCCATGCTCAAGCAAGCACCCGCGCCACGGAATGAGAAGGCCCCCGTGGACTTTGGCTACGTGGGGATCGACTCCATCCTGGAGCAGATGCGCAGGAAGGCCATGAAGCAGGGCTTTGAGTTCAACATCATGGTGGTTGGTGAGTGTTAGAGGCCCTCTGCTGGTTGGTGAGTGTTAGAGGCCCTCTGCTGGCCACACGCCCATCCTGCCACTCCAAGCCCGTGCAGGGAGCCAGCCTCTGCCCCAGCACTCAAGCAACTCTCAAAATGTCCTCCCCCTGTAAAGTGAGGGGACAGCTCTCACTTAATGTCACCTGGTAAGTGACAGATATGGGGGCATGTGCTGAGGCAAGGGACCACATCCACTAAGCCCTCTGTGACCAGCAACAGCGGCCTCCAGCTCCGAGTTCTGCTGAGTGACCCCTTGTTATTGCCCCAGGCTTGGCTGGAGGCTTCCTGGAGGCACAACTAAGTTGCTCACCCAGGAAGTGGGGTGTCGTAGCCACTTTCTTCCTCCTGTGGCGGCCGTGGAGAGCTAGAAGTCACCAGTGGTAGGCAGATAATGAGTGTGAGCTGGATGGGCTGTGTGCAGCAGGCACAGAAAACCCTTGACACCCCCCCCACACACACACACAAACACACACACACGAGGTCCTCTCTGAACCCTTGTGAAAGGGGATCTGCTTGGCTGGAAGAAACAAGCCAATTGTGTTTGTTTGTTTGTTTGTTTGTTTAGAGATAGGGTTTCTGTTATGGAGATTTTCTAGCTAGGCATGTCCCTCCACTCTTGAGCCCCAAAATGAACACTCAGAGATTTATATTAATTATAATACTATTGGCCAGTGGCGGCGAGGGCTCCTTATTGGCTAGCTCTGTCTTAATTATTAACCCATTCCTATTAATCTGTGTATTTCCACGTGGTCTTGGCTTCCCAGAGAATGCCTGGTGTGTCCTCACTTCCCAGGCTCACACTGCGACTCCTATCTGACTACATTTCCCAGAATTCTCCTATCCTTCCTGCCTGGCCACTAGCCACACAGTGTTTTATTCATCAACCATTAAGAGAAACATATACACAGAAGGACAACCCCATCAGGTTTCACTTTGTGACTAGGCTGGAACTCGATCTGTAGACCAGGCTGGCCTTGAACTCAGAGACCTTGCCTGCCTTTGCGTCCCAGGTGCTGGGATTAAGATGCACCACCATACCTGGTCTATGACCCAGTTTTTCACTCTGTTGATTCTCCAGGGTGGTATCTGGGCAAACGCTCCCATAGGGTGACGTCCTAAACCAAATAGAGTCAGGTGGCTTCCCCCACTGTCTGGGGAACTGTGTCTGTGTGTGTCTGCTCTGTCCAGATTCACAGATAGCCTCCACCTGTCTTTGGGGCTGTCATCCTCTGTAGCTATCTGGACCCGTTCCTCTAGAGTCTTAGTGTTCCTTCCTGCTTTGAGTAGCTTCTCTAAGGCCAGGAAGGAGCTCTGGCCAAGTCAAGCCAGGCCCCAAAGCCCCACATTGTGTGTTTAAACTCAACCCTGGATGTCTGCTTAGGAGGTGAAGCCCCAGGTGGGGCTATCTAAGGATGTTGTGAACCCAGTGGTCACAGTGTGGTTTAGCCATAAGCTGTGCTCTTGGAGAGCCTCCTGACCGGCCTCCCCTTCCCTCCCCAGGGCAGAGTGGCCTCGGGAAGTCCACCTTAATCAATACCCTCTTCAAGTCCAAAATCAGCCGGAAGTCAGTGCAGCCCATCTCGGAGGAACGCATCCCCAAGACGATCGAAATCAAGTCCATTACCCACGGTCAGTTCCATGGGACCCCCTTTTCCCAGAGTGTGGGGTCAAGGTCATGTACCCTCTGGCTACATGAGACTGTGAGTAGGCATGGTCTGCGCCCCACCAGGCCGAGGCACCACCCAAACTCCATTACTAGAGGTCGCTTTCTCCTTGGCATCACCCCAGCTGTCATCACAGCCGATCTTGGGACACCCCAGGCTGGTCAGGCAGTGTGAGGGCTTGGGTGACCCCTGTGACTTGGAGTGCTGTGGTTTGTGCAGATATCGAGGAAAAGGGGGTCCGGATGAAGCTGACAGTGATCGACACCCCAGGCTTTGGAGACCACATCAACAATGAAAACTGGTAGGTGACCTCAGAGGGCCTTCCTTCAGTGGGAAAGCCCTGCTGGGCTTGGGGCTCCGTTATACCCAGATAAGACTGCTCCAAACCCTGAAGACACACATTCGGGGGCTAACGTTTTAGATCAAAAGGGGGTCACCTGGGAGTCAAGCTCCCCCACCCCAGGACAAAGGTCAGCATGGGGAGTGTGAGCAGGAAGCTCTAAGGCTGGCGTTGCTTTGCGACAGCCAACCATTCCTGTGTGAAGTCAGAAGGCCGGGCGTCAGCTCTGGGAATTAGCCTGCCGTGGGGGCTTGGGGGCTTAGAGAGGGCACGCCTCCGGCATGGCGGGAGGGGTCCCGGGTGCTGGCTGACGGGATGTCCACGCAGCTGGCAGCCTATCATGAAGTTCATCAATGACCAGTACGAGAAGTACCTGCAGGAGGAGGTCAGCGTCAACAGGAAGAAGCGGATCCCTGACACGCGAGTCCACTGCTGCCTCTACTTCATCCCCGCCACCGGCCACTCGTACGTGCCGCGCACCGCCCTTTGTATTCATGGTGGGAGCCCCCATTTCCAACACTGGTGGGGTGCACGCAGGATTCCGTCTGCCCAGCTGCTGGGCATGGGGGGGGGGGCGTGCAGGGGCAAAGCGGGATCCGGCACGAGTCAGGGCTGTCAGCAGCTCCTACGTGGGTGTCTGTGTCCGTGGAGGGCCTCTGTGACTCGAGGACTGGGCAGGCCTCGGATATCCTAGGATCTGTAGGCAGATGGAAATGGAACGAGTCTCTCAGGCTGTGTGAGTGGGTGTGTACCCTAGAAGTCACGTGACTTTCTCCATGCCTTGAGGGCCACTCTTATTTCCTGGGCCACTGAGGAATGTTGCTGGGTGAGACACAGAGAGCTGTGAATGTCCAGAGCCATTTCCTGTCCTCGCCAGTGATGCTCCCGGGGCCTCTGAGGCATGGGAACACCAGGTGCCTTCCCAAGTCTCCCTTCCCCAGGGCAGATGGACTCTGGATGATCTCAGTGACCAGGGCTCTTGACTCCCTGTGAATCTCATCCCTCCCCAGTGCATAGGTTCCTCTCCCTGCTGGACACCCTTGTCACTTGTCCTGACTCCACATGGGGCGCAGGTCAGCCCCTGTGTAGACAGCAGGAACTGGAGGTGGCTTGTGAGGACTCCCAAGTTTGGTGCCTCCTGGCCACAGCTACTGGAGTATGCATACTCTAGGCTCTTCCAGGCTCATCCCTGGATGTGAGAGCCTAGGCTTTGAGGACTTGCACCGTGTGCCCTGTCTAGATGGCATAAGGCTTACTGGCGTCTGGTTGGAAAAATCTGAATATGGGTGTCTGAGCTTGCCAATAGTGACCGTCTCCTGTGGGGCCAACAAGAGCCCATTCACCGCAGGGGCTGCCATAAGGCCACCTGGGGCTGGCTCATTTGGGGTTCTGCAGCTACCCCAGCACCTCCTGGGGCAGGGCCAAGACAGCCAAGTCAGCAGGAGACAGGAGTGACATGGCTTTAGTGTGGTGACGCTCTGGGCTAGGGTCCCACCTGGGCATCTTGCCTAGTTTCTGTCCCCTGACACTCAGTCCCCAGGGACAACAATGGCTTCTGGCCATCCTTGCTCAGACTTCTGCCTGCAGCTTCACTTCCCACAGACTGTCTGGGCCTGACAATACCACTATGGAGAAAACACAGTTTCAACAGAAAAATGATGCCCACGCATGGGTTCTGCCAGCCTCCTCCCTGCAGCCTCCTCCCGGCTCCCTGTATCAGACCCGGGCTCTCTAGAGCCACGCTGATCTGAGGACAGTTAGCCTATCCCAGGCCCCAGAGCTTCTCCCTGACACTGGAAGCCCCAAGGCGTGACAGTGATGTGAGCCAAGTCACTCTGGGGGCAGTGTCCGGGCCAGCTGGACTCTGGCAGTTGTGATGAGGGGCCTGAGAGCCAGCTTCACGCTACCTCAACTCAGTAAGAGGAGCATCACCCTGCATCCTCCCAAGCCCCAGCCTTGCCCCTCTACCAACATGGCCTCCGCTGTGAGACTTGAAGCAGGGACTCCCTAGGCTGAGTTTCATTTGCGCCGTTCCTTTTCAGGCTTAGGCCCCTGGACATTGAATTCATGAAGCGTCTAAGCAAGGTGGTCAACATTGTCCCCGTCATCGCCAAGGCTGACACGCTTACCCTGGAGGAGAGGGTTTACTTCAAACAACGGGTAGGACACACAGCCTCTACTCAGCCCTCTCTCCCTCGAGGACTACCTGGGCAAGTTCCAGACATGTCAGGGGCTGATCCAGCCCAGGGGATACATGGCAGGAGAGTCTCCCTTCAGCTCTTCACAGCTTGTGTCCAGCCTGGGGGGAGGGCTGGCCTGGGTGGCGACTGGGGACCCCCCATTTCCATCAGCCTCAGGGTTTGGCGTAGACCAAGCAGAGGCAAATGTCTCAGGGCCATCAGACCCAGTGCACCTGGGTTTTATTACGTGGGAAAGAAAACCAAAAGGACCAGTCTGCCTCAGTGGCTTCCTCCTTCTCTGCTGTGGTCGAGGCCACTACTGGCTGGGTGACAGGGGTGTTCCTGTGGGCATCTTCAGAAGGATGAATCCTGGGCCTCTTCTGAACTAGGCCAACTTCAGAACCTCCTGGGAGCTCCAGCCTGGGGTTGTGAGGTCCCAAATCCAATTCCAGAGGCTCCCAGACCATGTGACAGGGATTTTTCCAGCATGCATAGGGAAGGCTAGTGAGGGGTGCCTCTGCTCAAGAAAGGAAGGCTCTCCAGTGTGAGAGCCTCGATCTGCTTGGGGAAATGAGACAGCTGTCCCCTGGGATGACCTCTGTCGACTGTCAGCTACCTGGGCGGGTCATCAAGGTGGGAAGCATTTCATCAAGCAGGTACCCTGAACTGTGGGAGAGAACCATGCTCGTCCTTAGCAACCCTGAGTTATTTGTGTGTGGGGGGAGGATGGGTAGTGATGACCTACACAGGAAACATAGGGAGATGCTCAGGACAGTGATCGCAGGGCCCCTCGGGCAAGGTCCCTTTTGGATGCAGAGGTGCCAGAACTGGAGATTCTGGGCGGGATGTGGCTTGGGTGGCAGAGTGCTTACCCGGCATACAGAAGGCTCAGGGTTGGATCTTCAGTAACTGGGCATGGTGACACATACCTGTAACACCAGCACTTGGGAAATAGAGGCAGGAGGATCAGGAGTTCAAGGTCATCCTTGGTTACATAGCCATTCTGAGGCCAGCCAGAGCTAGAAACTGTCTCCCTAAAGGGTGGGGGTGGGGCTGGAGCAATGGCTTGGAGGCTAAGAGCACTGGCTGCTCTTGCAGAGGACCCAGGTTCCATTCCCAGCACTCACATGGCAGCTCACAGCCAGTTCCAGGGAATTGAACGTGCCCTCTTCTGGCCTCTATGGGCTCCAGGCCTGCATATGACACTAGTACACATAAAATAAAAATTAGACATTCTCGGGGCAGGGCCACCCAGAGCCTGCCTTTGTATGGGTTCATGGGTCAGGCACCTGGTGGCTGATGGCCTGATTCAAGAACCACACCTGTGTGCCTCCCAGATTACTGCAGACCTACTGTCCAATGGCATTGATGTGTACCCCCAGAAGGAGTTTGATGAGGATTCAGAGGACCGGCTGGTGAATGAGAAGTTCCGGGTGAGTGCCTTGAGCAGATGCTGGGCTGTGGGGGCAGCGGTGGGGTGGCTTTAAGCCATGGGGTGTGTACTCCAGACTGGAAAGTGATGGGACTCCATATGTCCACCTCTGGTCCTCGCAAGCCAAGGCCTGCAGTTTTCCAGGTCCAAGGCCCAGGAGCACCTGTGGTTAACTCTTCCACCCCCTTTCCAGGAGATGATCCCATTTGCTGTGGTGGGCAGTGACCATGAGTATCAAGTCAATGGCAAGAGGATCCTGGGAAGGAAGACAAAGTGGGGTACCATTGAAGGTAGGGGGCACTGCCAGCCAGCCTGCTGATCTGTGGTTGAGCTTGGGCCCTCATCCCTTGCATTTTGTCTCTTTTTGTAAGGGCAATGGCTGTGGGGTGCACCTGAGTTCCTTGAACTTAATTACTGTGTCATAGACTTAGTCACTTTGTCCCAAGTGCTGAGGGCTGGGACTGTGGTCTTCTCTGGGGTCCAGGTCAGCACCCAGGTGGGGTGGTCCCAGGGCCTTTCATCCTCTTCCATCCTCGTTAGAACAGAGGATGGGAAAGTACAGAGCTGCCTGGAAGATGACCAGTGTGGTCCAAAGGCCCACAGAGGAGCAGAAATCTGGGGTGAGCCTCAGTCTGTACACGTCATCAACGGGGGCTACATCCTAAGGTCTAGGTGATGAGGGATTGTTCCAGATGGATAGAGCTGCTCTTCGATTGATTTTGGGCTTATCTGTAGCCTAGGGTGATCTGGCATTCAAGTCCTTCTGCCTTGGCCTTCTGAGTGCCGGGGTCATAGGTGCACACACCACACCAGTGCTGGGGTTATAGACGCACACCACACCAGGCCTTCTAGAGCTCTTTAAGAAGCTGTTTCTCTAAGAATCTGGTGAGGGTGTTTCCTGGCTCTGAGTATGGAGGCCTGCAGCCCAGCACCTCCCCCTTAGTGGGTTATCATTTAACCCTTTCAGCCCTCCAGGACCCTTTACTCATCCACTTTGCAGAGAAGAGTTAGAATAGTGTTATTGGTGACCCCCCAATGATAAAATTATTTCCACTGCTACTTCATAACTGTAATTTTGCTACTACTATGAATCATAATTTAAATACCTGTGTTTCCCAATGGTCTTATGTGACCCCTGTGAATGGGGTCATTTGACCCTGCAAAGGGTTGCAGCCCACAGGTTGAGAACCGGTGAGCTAGTGGACAGACTCCACAGACTGCCTGGACTGAGTTACGCTTTGTGGTCCGTACCACATAAGCCAGGTTTGCTGGTCCCTGTCTGTGATCTTAGCATTTGAGAAATGGAGGCAGGAGGATCCTGGATTCAACATCATCCATCCCTCCTACAGCAAGGTCAAGGGGGGAGCAAGGGAGGAAAATCCCGGTGTGAGGACAGAGAATGAGCAGCCAGGTGGGGGTGCCTTGCTTGCACGGGGCTCTGGAGTTAGGAGTTGTTGGCTGGTCTTTCTGAAGTTAAGCACTGAAGAGGACCTGTCTGCCCTTCCCGCCCATCCCTTTTCCTGCTGTACCTTCCATGTGGGTCTGCCCTGTGGGGCACCATGGGGATATATGTGCTCCGGTGTTTTAGGTACCTGTGGCTTTCTGTAGCACCCTGCTCCATGCCAGATGATGGACCCCAGAGGTGACCTTAGGGCTACTCAGAAGCTATTCTCTCAAAAGCTCAGCTTCATTTCCCTCAGCCCCTCCTTCCTGTCTCTGCTCATCCTCTCTGCATCTCTCCCCAAATATGCAAGGCATGGTTGGAGTGAGGAAGGTGTGGAGTAGGGGCCGCTGGCGATCTGAGAATGGCATTGGCGTGTCTTGTCTGACGCCTGGTGGTCAACTTGGGTACTGCACACACTCAATGAGAAATTGCCAGGAAGTTAAGCGGGTTAGAGGGTCCATGAGCCTATAAAGGTACGCCCCCGGGTGGTGGTTTCCATATCCAGCAGCAGCCTTCTTGTGAGGACCCTGGGGATAGGAGCATGGTGGGAGTTCCTATCAGGGACGCGCACACACACCTGTGAGTTCATAACTGAACAAGCCCTATCCACTTGTGCCCACTCCTTCCCTCCTCCTTGGTGTGCACCATCTCAAGTGCCTATCTGTCTTGCGAGGATGGAAAGCTGCTTTGTTCCTTGAACATAAGTAGGCGGAAGCCTCACAAAGTCCAATAGCATCATTGGCTCATTTGGTCCCTTTGTGCCCCCGAGGCATGAAACATGCTATTCTCCCACTTAAATTTCATTTTACAATATTTCATTGAGGGGAAGAGGTCTTGCACATGCCAGAACATGCATGTGGCAGTCAGAGGACAACTCGCAGGATGTTCCATGTGGTTCTGGGATTCAAACTCCGGTGCTGGGCTTGGCAGTAAATGCCCTTATCCACTGAGCCATTAGCCCATTTTACTGGGAAACTGGGTCAGAGAAGCCAAGATTCACCCAAGCCTGGAGCGTAAAGAATGAGGGTTTACTTTGACTCATAGTTCTGGGGTACAGTCCATCATGGCGGGGAGTCATGGTGGCATAACGAGAGGCAATTGGTCACATGACATACGCAGCCAGGAAGCAGAGAGAAATAAGTGCTGGATCTCAGCTCACTTTCTCCTTTTATTCGGCTGGAAAACCCCAGCCCACTGGATGCTGCTGTCCACATTCAGGGTGGCTCCTCCCTCAGCTGAACCTCTCTGGATGCACCTACATAGACACACTAGAGATGTGTCTCCCAGGTGACTCCAAAACTAGCTGAGTAACTGTCAATCACCTGCCCACTGTGGGTAAGGCTTTCTGGAAGCTGTTGGCGTTGCTGGATAAGAGAGGAGCAGTTTTCTTCTCACTGGACATTGAACGTCCTTCTCTTTTCTGCAGTTGAGAACACCACTCACTGTGAATTTGCCTACCTTCGGGATCTCCTCATTAGGTAAGTCAGCCATCGGCTCTGAAGACTCCTTGGGAAGACCTGATGGGTGGGCAGAGGCTCCCACCCTGCTGGCAGCTGCCTGTTGTCAGCCCTGCCCTCAGGAACCCATTGTCTAAAGCTGAAAACCAAACCAAACCCTCTTGGGAATGAGCAAAAAACAAAAACAAAAAAAAAAATGGGAATTGTTTTTAACCTTATGAAGTCACCAGGATGAGAGGGGCTGAATTTTGGTCCCCCATGGTCGTCTAAGCCTGCTAAATTCAGCTATCGCTATTAAGGGCACAGCCTGGACTATATGTCTCAAAACAAACAAAAGAAAAATATCATAATGAAACCTATTTTGTATAATGAAAATCTATTAAGAGGAAAAAAGATGCAGGGCAAGGGATCTGGGGTGGGACTTCCAAGAACAAACCTTACCACCTTAGGGACTCCTGGCCCTTCCGACTTCCCCTTCCCAAATAAAGGGGAGTGGCAGTCTGCTGTGTGGGTCAGTGGTAGAGCTTGCCTGGCAGGCTTAGGGTCCTGGCTCCCACCTGCAAAAAGAAACTAGGAAACAACAACAACAACGACAAAACTCAGGAGGGATGGCAGGGTGGATATCTCTGGGGACTGAGGTCACCTGCTGCCTCCTGCTGGCCACAGCATAAACTTCTGTCTTGGAGCACGAATACCCCAGTGCTGCCCACTGGTGGGGCCTTGGGACCTTTCAAGTTTGTGTTTTTAGTGCTCAGCCCTCCACCCCTGTGCAGACCCTGACTAGCCAGTGTGGACCCAGGGAGAAGGGGTGTGGATTAGAATGTGAGCTACACAGGGCGGACCGACTCTGCCTGGGCCTGCTGTGTGTACACCAAGAGCCTGCGGGCTGCCTCTAATGCCGGGAGGGAGGAGCAGGTGGTTGTGACCCCAGGCAGGCTAGGTGGTCACCCCCGTGCTGGCCGAATTCCCTGCAGGACACACATGCAGAACATAAAAGACATCACTAGCAGCATCCACTTCGAAGCCTACCGTGTGAAACGCCTCAACGAGGGCAACAGCGCCATGGCCAACGGGGTTGAGGAGAAGGATCCAGAAGCCCAGGAGATGTAGACGCCATCCCGCCCCTGGACCCCACCCCCAAATCTTCTCATCCTCCCTGGCCCACCTACCCACCTACCCTGTCTTATTTTATATAGTCGTCTCCATTTGTCACCCGCCCCTTTCTCTTTCCACACTCTGCCCAGTAACAAGGGAGGGCTTATCTTCCAAGTGTGCTCTTATTGGCTGCAGCAGCAGGGTGGGCGGGACTACATCCTGTGCTTGCCTCTGTGCCCTGCTGGGAAGGCTAGACCAGACTCAGCCCCTCCTGAGGGCTTACAAGAGCTGTGTGTCCATGCCCACTCCAAGTTTTGAGCTGAAGTCTATAGCAAGTCCCCATGGCCACAGCCTCAAAAGCAGGCTGCACCCAGGGGAGGATGGAGCTGGCCAGATAGTCCTGGAGCCCCACCTGTCCCTCTACGAGTGTGGGTCCTTGTTCATAACGCCCTCAGCTGCCTGCTCCCCAAGGAAGCTAAAGACATCCACAACCAAAGCTGCCAATCACTTAGACATAGTGACAACCATGCCCCTTCTCTCTCAAGCTTGTCCCAGAGCAGAAAGTGCCTTGATCCACAAGAACCAGTCCCCTCTTCCCAGACGAAATGCGGGGAAGCACGGGAGAGGAGTTGTCTCTTCCCCTCCCCTGGATCTCCTTCCCCTGTGCTGTAGACTCTGCTACCGGGCTTTAATTATAAAAACAAGGCAGGAAAGATGGCCCCACCCCCACCCCAGAAGGTGGAGCTGAGGGAGGGAGCCACGGAAGGAGGGCGGAAAGGTGCATGGCAGCTGCTCTGCCTGCCCGGTGCCAGGGGAAAGGGTCCGGGTTTGACCGGATTTGCTCTGTCTACATTGTTTCAATTTGCCTCCACCCCCCGGC